CTGAGTTACCTCGACCATCCCATCAATCGCTTGTATAACTGAGGCCCGCCCCTCGAATCTGGTGACCAATCTATCAGTGACACGCCCAATGATGTCGGGTAACTCCTCTCGTAGGGCTCGCGAAACCTCCACAGTGATCCAATCATGTGGTAGACTCTCCTGAAGACAAGGTGCATAACCCACCCCCAGTCCCAAATGACCAGAGTTAACAGTAGGGTCCTCCTTCCTGAAGGATCTCAAGGATCCGTAAGCATTGGGCTCCGAATGAGCCCGCAACTGCCCCGCAATGATCTCGGCCCAAAAGGCCTCTAGGCGATTATCTAAAAGTTCCAAAATCCCCTCCTTGACCGAACCGAATATCACAGGAGTCTGATCAATGATGCTGCGCGTAATCTCATCTGAAATAAACTCTCTCATCCGATCGCCAAGCTCCCCGGCTCCATAGCCTGAGCCACATCCCTCACCGGCACCTGAACTACTAATTGGTATCTCACGTAGCGTCTCCATGCTGAATACATACCATAACAACCATCTGAATACCCGTCACATATTGAGGGGTCAAAAACACTACAAGCTCCCTGGTCTTATCTCAGCCTTCCTTGATTCGAGTACGAATCCTCTGCTTTCAGTAGTATGGGCCCATACTACCTTCCACATCTATTCGTACTTTCCTCAAATATTGCCTCAACTCCACCAAGTCCCTTACACTAATACCCTTCCCAGCACTAATCCTATCCTAGGCTTTCCCTATGTTCTCGAACGCACCCAGTCCTCAGCTGCTGAAAGATTCCCAGTAATGTCAACTAACTACCTTATGAATATAGCCACATGCAACAGAGAGCAAATGATCCTTCGAGTAAAAGATTCATCCCTAGAACGGTTAGACTCAAACGAGAGCTGCGCAATAGGGTCAAGTCCATCACTCTGAGATTAGTTGGTCTGTGTCCCATGTGACTTATCATATTCACTTAGTAGCTAACTCACATGACTAGGAGTCCCACAAAGCACAAAGCAAGCAGTATTCAGACAATGGAAATTCTAACCAACATGATCCAATCAAACCATTCTATCATCTAATCAGTAATCTGTACATGCAATTCAAAGGCTCATACAATCAGGCATAACCTAAACAGGCCATCCTATCACTGACTTATCAGTACTAGCATGCAGGTCTACAAGCACATATAATAGGCATATAAGGCATCCTTCTTAGATCCTTAGCCCTAATCTAGCATGCAATTCACATATTCTCACTTCATAACATAACATAACATAACATGTATGGGTATCTTGGGGAAAACTTACTTGAGCTCGGCTGATTGCACGCATCACATTCCTTGTTCTTTATCAAAACTCTTTGTTTTAATTTTTAGAAAATTAATTTATTGTAAAAATCTTTCAAACCCTAGATTTGAGTCCAGACACACCCGAGAGTGTGTCCGAATCCCTCAAACCAGGGCTCTGATACCAACTTGTAACATCCCAAAATTCAAGACCAAAAATTTCATTTTAATTAAGTTATTATATAAAACCAACAGTATAAAAACATTCATAATAATATTTCATGTCAAAACCAAAGTGTCAATAATCAAAACACATTATTATAAATCCATATCAGAGTGTAATCCCAAAGATCTCATGTGCGGAAAACATAGTGTGATGCGCTGCGATCAAGCCGACTCCTTTCCTTTGAAAACGAGTACCTGAAACCAAAACCGTAAACCGTAAGCACGAAGCTTAGTGAGTTCCCCCATCATACCGCATACCATACAGTAAACATATTTTCAGGCATATCTGGGTGCCCGACCTACCCTGCTAGGCATACCGGGGTGCCTAACCTACCCCTGTCAGACATACCGGGGTGTCCGACTTACCCCTCCGGTTTATATCAACCGGTTACGAGGACTATTTCACCCCTACTACTACCACATGATAATAAAACATAATCATACTGTCTAGCATGGCTGGGTACTATACTACCCCTTCGGCCCTATCGACCGATAACCGGGGACTATTCCCCTTACTACTACTATCACATAACATCATATTATACTAGCATGTAAAACATATCAGACAGTAGCAAACCTAGATAATTATCACAAAGACAAGTATCTAACAACAACTCCTACCAGTGGGCCGACATTGTGGCCTTAGACCCACTTCTACTGGAAGGTAACTCACCTCGAACTGCTGAAGTCCACTGCAAGAAATCTTTAGTTGTTGTCCTGGCAACTCCTCGAGCTATCAATACCAAAATATCACCCAATTAGCAATTGGGTTCTATACCATGATCCATAATCCATACTTGGGGTAAAATGACCATTTTACCCCTGGCCCAACAAGATACATAACTAAGGACCAAGCCCAAAACCAATCAACCCAAAACTTCAAAATCCATAAAAGCCCACTAATGGCCCAATTTTCCAAATTGGGCCCAAACCCTTTCATGGGCCTCATCCTAAGGTCCAATCCTCCAATTAGTCCAAAATACAACTACTCAGATAGTCCATTAGGGCCCAAGCATCAATGCCCAAACAGATGGCCCAAACTGAAGCCCAAAACCCGAAATCCCACTCTACTGAGTACGCGGGGCGTACTCCTCCTGATGACCAACTTTCAGTTCTAGCTCTTAATCCATTAAGTCAAGACGTCCAACACCTCAGAATAGCCAAATATAAGTGACTTGATCCGTAAAGTCGAATGCTTTAAGCCTTTGCATGGCTTAATGAAGCCCAAACACCAAAGATGAATTCCAAAAGGTCAAAATCACTCCCAAAATGTCTTAAAACTTCTTAATACCTTAAGACCTCAGTCCAAACTTCTAGATCTGATTTCAAGGGACTTCTTAAGTCATAAAGTTTCCAACTTTGTGACTTAGCATAACTCAATGGGGCCCAAATCAAAACCCCAAGTCCCAAACTTCATCAAATGACTACCAAATCATGCATGGAAGGTTTATACATATCAAGATCCAAACTTTATGACTCCATAACCTCAATAAGGGCCAAATATGAAGCTAAAAGGTTATGGAGTAACTTCTACTCACAAGAACCACCTAGGGACCAAAACCATAACAATGTACCACTTAGCTAGATCTACATGAAAAAGTTGTCAAGGTTAAGACTTTATACCTCCAGAAGATAGATCTAGGTGCACAAAGCTTGGATCCAAAAGCTCCAAGTCAAACAATGACTCTTCAAGAAGTTTCGTCTTCCTCCTCAAGCACCCAAAACACACAAAAATCACTTTGAAGCTCTACAGTCACTCAAATAGGGGCTATGGGTCGATTTCTAGGGTTTAGAGGGATCGAGGCTGAAGATATTAGGGTTAGGTTATGAGATAAGGAGCTTAAATAGGGTCCAAGACCCCAAAATAGGGTTCTGATCTGACTGGCGTACACCCAACGTACTAATAGGAACATTCACGACCATTCTGGTCAGTACGCCCAGTCTACTCCAAAGTACGCCCCGCGTACTGCCTTCTTCAATAGTACTCCCCGCGTACTCGGCTAAGCCTGAAACCCACGAAACTTCCGAAGGCCATAACTTCTTCGTTATAAGCCTGATTCCAACGATCCTTATATCAACTGAAAGGTAAATAGAAGCCCTGCACTTCTAAATACTCAAACCTTTCTTAAGACCTTCCGAACAAAAATCCATTTTCCACAAAATCCTGAACCGACACTTTACCGAAATACCCCTAGGCTCTAAAACACGAACCGAACACCCATATCACTTCTAATACATCACCCGCACCCAAAATGGGCCTAGATCATACCTTTTCAAAAGCCCTAATCCTTATGATGATCGATCTTTGGGCCACAGCCTCAGACTAGGAATCGATTCGAAACAGGGCATTACATATGTGTTCCCGGGAGCTCACCTTTTTCCAAAGCTTTCCAAGTCATACCTTTCGTCAATGAAAAGTCCACCCCAAACTCCACCAATATAATACAAGGTAGATCACTAAAATGACCATAATACCCCTAGTATTGGAACAATCCTAAACTCTCTGGTTATTCATTATTCAACTAATAAGAGTAATGCAATTGAATCAGATCAAACAAATGAGCAAAACCTTGCAAACTAGAGTTGTCCCTTAACAAAATGTTCTACGCGTCGTGTAAGATTAGGGGACGCATCGCATTATGAAGCGACTTCATGTTTTTTTGGACAATGAACTTAGAGTACGTGTCGTGTTCCATACATGTATGCGATGCATTTTGTGCTGCAAAATACTAATTCCATTATTTGGTGACACTTAAGCCATACCAATTCTTCTTAAACTAGTGGCTTGTCAAAATACACATTGGTACTACCTCTATTGGTTTCCAAACACCATTAATATAGATTTAGTCATACAAAGCACAATGAATTAATCCATTAAGTCTTAACAATAAATCATGGCATTTATTGATCATTTAACTTCTCTATATGGACTTAAGTGCTTAATGTAACCAAAATCCCACTAGTGTTTCTTGAAAACATTCCAACCATTTGAAACTACCAATTCATTATTTTATTATTTTAGATGCATTTAACACATTTATTCTAATCCATTCCATCGACGAATTCAGTTTTAACTATGAGATCATAATTCCATCCACATCCTAGGTATCAATTCATGAATATGAACACCCCTTACATGAATAGATATTATCTTACTAAGTGGTAACTATCAATCAAATAATAATCCCCAAGTCCAAAGCATCACAACTTGATTCTATCATTTCCTTGAGTTTATGCATCCTTGGACGATTTATTGCAACAAACCACATATATAATAATAGAATCATTCTAATAACATCTCCATAATTCATAATTTTATATTTGAATCCAACTCTATAACTAGAGACTAGAGTACAACTCATTATTGCCACGGTACAACCCAACATGAGATTAGGTCTTGAATTACTCATCTACACTATTGATGACGGATTGCAATCATCCAAAGAAAAAATGACAATTACAAGGTGTTCTAAAGAGTAATCCATGCAACACTCATAATCCCCGATTTGAAATGTAGGGTTCATAGTTAGCTTTTTCATCACCGCAATGACAACAGGTTGTAGAATTCACATTGACCCCTCTTGTCGCTAGGGCTTCTGTAGTTGGAATCCTACCCTGTTTTGCACGCCAGATAAAAGTATTTACTTTAATCGGGACCTCTTTCACCCATTCAAATCTTCCAATATTAACTTGAATGCAATTATCCAATTTTTTCCTCAAAGCGTTGACCTGATAGTCTCCTGTGGTTGTGAGAGGGCATCTCCAATCCACTCCCCCATTTATTGATTGATTTTTAAGCACCATCCCAAGAGTAATTCCGCATTTATCCAAATCCTTTTGTGAGCACGCGATATTATTCCAAACCCCGGTCAGAGTTTTTAAAGAAATATAGAAATATTTGACATAGACTGTTTTTGTAGTAAAGAAAAAAAACATTACAGGGACCTTTTATGTAAATAAAATAACTACAGGGACTAAATCTATAAAGATGTAAAACCTTTTTTGCATTAAGTAAATTGTACGGACTAAATCTATCAAATGTAAAACCTAAAGCTCTCAAAATATAAAACCTTTTGACTAAAGCTCAAAATATAAAAATTTTGTTGTAAGGACTAAATCTATCAAAAATATAAAACGTTTATGGCAAAAGTCCAAAAATGAAAAACGTTATATGGGCTGCAAAGAAAAATTAGCAATATGATGGCAAAATCGGGAACCTCATAAACTTGTTAAGAACTTTCTATTTAATATATAATACGATGCTTCAAAACCAAATAAGTATCATCATTTAATTGAATAGACACGTACGGCATGTTATGCCGGGCATTGGTATTTGACCACCAAGAAAATGGATTTGAAATTCCACTTGCTGTGAGTGTTGTGTATTCTCGTGCCACACTGCAAGGTTAGCCACGTATTATCCACGCTATAACATGATATCATGCCACGTAGACACTTCGCCCCCTCCATCCTTTTTCTCTTTCTTTTTCCCCTTCTTCCTTCCGTCCAACTCTTTTCCACTTCCGGCTACCATGAACGAGAACGCCCCACCAAAAACCCACCAAGACGGCCGACAGCCTATAAGCTTCGCCATCAATGCAACCCTGGTACGCCTTCCCTACCTAATCGACTACCTTCCTCACCTCAAACCTCAAGCAACCCCATTAGAATCCAACCACTTTTACCACCCTTCCGACGAATTCTACCTCTCCCACTCTGACGTCATCATCCGCCGGACTATCTACGACCTCTCCACCACCTCCCTCTCCTCCTCCCCTCACTTATCCTACCCTCGTGCTGGACCCCGCAAACAGATATTCTACCAACCAGAAAATGTCAGAGCCGCCATTGTTACTTGCGGAGGCCTCTGCCCCGGCCTTAACACTGTCATCCGGGAGCTGGTTGTCGGGTTGTCGGAGCAATATGGAGTCCCGGAGATCTTCGGAATCAAGGCGGGTTACCGTGGGTTTTATTCCATGGATCCTGTTAAGCTTGATGTGAAGATGGTTGATAACTGGCACAAAAGAGGAGGCACTGTACTCGAGACCTCTAGAGGTGGTTTTGATCTTCACAAGATCGTCAATGCCATTGAAGAACATGGATATAATCAGGTCTTAATTCTTCACTTTCTTTGATTTGTTAATACAGAAAAAAATAATGCGGTGAACGTGGATCGAACGCGTGACCTTCAGATCTTCAGTCTGACGCTCTCCCAACTGAGCTATCCCCGGTGTTGATGTGACTGTTGCTATGAATACACAGGTGTACATAATTGGTGGAGATGGAACTCTACGTGGAGCCGTGAAGATATTCAACGAAATCCTTCGCCGGAAACTCCACATCGGCGTCGCCGCCATCCCCAAAACAGTCGATAACGACGTGGGAATTATCGACAGATCATTCGGGTTCCAAACAGCCGTCGAAAAGGCCCAACAAGCAATCAGCGCAGCTCACGTGGAGGCCGAAAGTGCACCCAACGGCATCGGCCTTGTCAAACTCATGGGTCGAACCACCGGCCACATCGCCCTCAATGCAACCCTAAGCAGCCGAGACGTAGACTGTTGCTTAATCCCGGAAAACCCATTTTACTTAGAAGGCAAAGGAGGTCTGTTCGAGTTTCTTGACGACCGGTTAGCACAAAATGGCCACGCGGTGGTGGTGGTGGCGGAAGGGGCTGGGCAAGATATGATTCCGAGAACTGACGCCGCCTCCCAGAAGGATGAATCCGGGAATCCGGTGTTTTTGGATGTCGGAGTATGGTTGAAAGGGGAGTTGAAGCGGTGGTGGGAGAGGGATCATAAGGGTGAGTTGTTTACAGTGAAGTATATTGATCCGACGTATATGATTCGGGCTGTTACTGCTAATGCTACTGATAATTTGTATTGTACGCTTTTGGCACACTCGGCGATTCATGGTGTAATGGCGGGGTATACGGGGTTTGTGGCGGGTCCGATTAATGGGAATTATGCGTATATTCCGATGGATGAGATTGCGGTGACGAAGAATGAAGTGAATACGAAGGATCATAAATGGGCCTGGGTTAGATCTGTCACAACTCAACCGGATTTTGTGAGGAGTTGAGAACTCTGTTGAGAAGATCTGGTTTTACTTTTACAGCATTTTTCATTTTTTTTTTTTTCAAGCGTAAAATGAAGTTCTTTTGACTTGTCTTTTTGGGTATTTGTTTGCTGTTGGTATACATTGTATGGAATTAGGATATGTCAAATGGTTATCTTATAGAGTTGATTATTAAAATGTGGTGATATGTTAATCTTGTTAATCTTTCTATTCTCATAAAAAAATAATTTTATTCTCCTTCTAACATGTGTCACCTTATTATGTCTTTTAATTAATGCATTTCACCTGTCAACCTATTGATTCTTCATTTTAAATTTCAAAATTAAATTTATCATACTAATTACATTAAATTAATAACATTAGAATAAAAATTATAATAAAATTAATACAAATTATAATGTGATATAATTTCACATATTTATTTAAATTAATGATTATAACTTTATATAACTTAACAAATTTCTTAATTAATAATTTATTTAAAATAATTGATTAATAATTTTGAGTTTTTAGTATAAAAATTTAATTAATTTTATAACTGTGGTTCCCACGGGTTATAAACTAGTGATATAATACAAAACTAGGTACAAGATCCATTTACTACATGTTTTATTTAAAAAAATTAAATATGAAATTCTAAACATTTGAGAAGTTTGAATTTATAAGAAAACTAGTGAATACCCGCGCGTTGCGCAGAAGCATCTATATAGCTGAAATCTTTACAATATATGTTTTAAATATAACAATAATATTGTTAAATTTGATATAATAATTCATATACTAAGTTGATATAATATATTGATTATTTTGAATTATATGATAATATATACATCTATTAAAACTGCATAATCTCAATCTTTTGAACGACCTCTACCTGCAGGTTACTCCTGAATAAAATTAAATATAATATATGGTTTAATGTTATTTATAGTTGTTTTTATTGATAATTAATTTTTTAAAATTTATTTGCTTAACTTTTTAATTTTTGTCATTGTAATTATTTAAAACATCAAACAAATTTTTTTTTATTTTAAAGGTAACAATATAATCATTTATATAGAGTTATTTTTAACTATTGTTATTGTAAGTTATTTTAAGCTACTTATTTGAAAACTTTTAACGATTATAAAAATATCTTTAGGAAATATTTTAGTTAAATTGATATTATAATTTAGTTTCTGCATTTAGCACTATAATTTATCACTTTTAAGTATTCACAAAATATCCTTTGAGTTTTTTAAGTGGATCTGAAATTTATATTGAAGTTGACCTTGTAATGTTATACAATTTAAGTATTTTGTCCAAACTATTCAAAAATTATAGCTTTAAACTGATAATGGTTTACATACAACAACATATTAAATCTAATAAATTAAGTATAATATGTTAAAGTTAAAGACATAACTTTATAATTAGAAGTAAAACATTATTTTAATATTGAAATTTAGTTTATTTATGATTACACTTTAGGTTTGATACTTATTTAACCTTATTAACCAACTTATAATCATTATTAGAAAGACACTACAATTTATCACTTTTAACTATTTACAAAATATTATTTGGGTTGTTTAAGTTGAACTAAAATTTATATTTAAGTTGATCATGTAAGGTTATATTTACATTAACAATTTAAGTATTTTATAAAAATTGTTCAAAAGTTGTTGCTTTAAAATGATAATGGTTTACATACAACAACTTATTAGACCTAATAAATTAAATATAATATGTTAAAATGTAAAAACATAACTTTATAAGTAGAAGAAAATATATTCTTTTAATATTGAAATTTAGTTTATATATGATTACACTTTAGGTTTGATATTTATTTAACCTTATTAACCAACTTATAATCATTATTAAAAAGAAATTAAAAAGTCATGGAAGTTTCAAATGAATGTGGTGAAAGGAAAAATGTATGAGAGTTTCAAATGAATGTGGTGAAAGAAAAAATGCTTCCTTTATAAGTATATAATGATGATTAGAAAAATATTGAATTATTAAATTAAAGTGTTTTTTCTCTTTTAAATTTAACAAATAATTTAGATAAATAAACAAAGGAAACTAATGAGGTTTTAATTTAGAAATTTTGAAATTAGAAGGAAAGTCAGTTAATGACATTGATATGCATTTATTATTACATTTATTACAATTAATACATTTAATTAAATATTATATGAAATTTAATAAAAATGAAATAACCAACAAAATGCCATGTGGAAAATATTTAATTGAAAATAACCACAAAATGACATGTGGCCAAATCAATGAGAGTGTGACATGTGGCAAAAAGATTTTCATTTATTATTATAGATGACTGTCCTTTCAACTTCTATCTAAAGAAGACGAAATATTTTATGATAGGGCACGAAATGTTCTTGTGTTGTATATATTCATCAGTTTCATTGGAACTGTATCAATCTCTTAAAATTTTCTTAGAGCACACGGTATGGGTTTGGTTTTGCTCGTTATTGCCGACGTGGACACGCCATAACAACGTGGTAATGAGGAACCCCCCCCTCTACTCATTACAGGGCATCTCGTTGCCATTACCACCGGATAAAACGCCCAAATTTCGAACGTTTAGGCTATTTGACCGTTGACGACATGATTAAATAAAATAATATATTTTTTTTCTAATTATAAATACATTTCATTCTCATACATTTCATACTCATTTTCATTCTTTCTTTCTATACTTCTACTTCAACAACAAAAAATGGAGCAAAACTCAAACACTTCAACACAACCATCCGTTGAAACGCAAACGGGAGGGAGATGAAAAGCTATAGCGGTTGACATGGAAAATAAGGAAGCTCTACATTGGTGGACACCGGATGACGAAAATGTTTTGGCGCAAGCGTTGTGTGGTACTTCAAAAGACGAATATCGTGGAAATATGATGAAAAAATGTGCTTATTGGGAGGCGGTGTGCAAAAAATTTCACACTATATTGAAGAAAAAACCATATCGCAATACGGACATGCTTAGTAGTAAATGGTATCAAATTAGCAACCGGTGCACAAAATTCAATCGTATTTATAACCGACTTAAGGCACAACAAAGCGGAACCAATGACGTGGATTTGTTCAAAGCTGCAAAAGAACAATATCGGGTCGAGATGAGACATATGTTTGAGTTCGAGAAAGCGTGGGAACCGGTGCGATTTGATCCAATGTGGAATAAAACCCATACGTCATAGTAAAATGTTTATGTATTAGGTTTAATTAATATTGTCTTTTAATATTGTTTTTCTTGTAATCTTAGTTTTAGTTTTTTAAAAATTGTCTTTTTTTTTTCTAATATTATGTTTTATAAAAATAAATTTTATTTAGATATTATGTTTTATTTAAAATATATTACTTTTTTACAAAAAAATAAATTCTGGAAAAAAATAAAAAAGAAACTCAAAAAAAAAATTATGACATGGAAAAAAGTTGGTGTTACATCTTGTTATAACATGGTGATCGTTTCCCCACTTGGTGTTATAACACCATTGCTTATGTGGCATGTGAGGTGGCACCAATTTGGTGTTATGACTAGTTGCACATATCCAATGCTCTTAGAACCATAGTAGGAAAAAAGGATAGTTTTGATAATTAATAGTTCGATTTCTTAAAAACTTATGGATGTTCATTTTTGGTTCCTGATATTATGATCTTATGTCTGGTAATCGCGAAAAAATAATCATAGGATAATCCACAAGTGGATTTTGAAATTTCTGCACAAAATGCAATTTAGGCATAAAATGAAAGCAATGTTAATGGAATAGAGTGTCAAAAGTTGTGTCATACCGGTGTATAATAACAATCCAAAAATGAATAAGATTGTCGAAAATAGTGATTTTATACGGTTGATATCAGCTTTTTGGAAAATCGTTAATTAGGCTGGTTGGGTTGTATGGAACAACCGAGCAAACATGCATCATGACTGTCAAAGGCACCTGGTTATATTTCCACCTTAGGCTATCAGACAGTTTGAGCTGTCGCTAACCAACTCCATGACGGGACTCCCCCCTCCCCCTTATAATTTCTAATATGATCATGTTTCCTCCATCCAAGGACTAAGAGGGTTGTAGACACTACCAGACCCGATCCTGACATGTCAGAGGCCTTGTGCGAAAATCAAAATGAGGCCCCATAAGTTTTTTCTTGTAAAATATTATTAAGTAAATTTACTACCACTAAATTCAAAAACTCAAAGTTGCTAACAAACATCTCGTAAATTTATTACCTCAACATCATGTCTTCACTTATTAGATGTTCCGGCTTCTAGGATCATAGATATTCAGTGGAATATCTTCTTTGTTATCATCATTACCATTCAGTGTGACTATGTCTTCATCTACACAAGGCATATCTTCTGGCATTTACAATACAACTTCTTCTCAAGGTTTTTCCACAACATGATGAACTTCTTCTCTAGGTTTTTCCACAACTTCATGAACTTCATCAATGTTTTTTGGCACATGCAATTCGGTTTCTTCTTCTCTATGTTCTTCCACAACTGATTCTTTATTACGATAGTATTTCGACATTTGTTTGACGGTAAATCGATTGATAAATCCGTTTGAATATGAATAAATTGTTATTCTTTTTGTTTTCTTTTACGTTTATAACAACTCGGTTCAAATTTTCTAGTAGAGACATCTTTTTTTAACAAAAAAAAATCATTTTTAATAACTTAACAATATATATTTATAAAAGGTAATGTTTAAAACGGTTAGAGTAATAAACAAGATTCTTGTTTTCTAATCTTTTAAAGTATTAGACTATATTATATTAATATTAGAAGCAAAAAATGGGAAGCCCATTGCCACCATCCCTCACCCCGACCTTAAAATATGTCAAACATTAAAAAGCTAAAGCTATAAAGCATAGTGATAGAGTGATAAAAACTATTCACAAGACATTATACTATATGACCCCTCTATACCAAAACATTAAAAAACTAAAGCTACAAAGCATAGTGATAGAGTGATAAACACACTTCATTATGAATTC